TAAAAGGGTAGGACTAATTTACATGTCATTTTTGTTTCACTTTAACCTTTTTGAACATTTCTTGCTTCACAGCTTTGAAATTGGTCCTATCACTGACTTATTCCACTTATTGTAAAGGATATTATTTGTCTTTGTAACGAACAATTTTGCCAAATCATTTGTGTGTCAGTGCTAACTCACGTTACATGATGTGAAATCCCTTCTATTTGTGTCTTTTAATGGATTTTAAGGGGAATCATAAAATCTCTACATTACTTTTATCTGAAGAAAACCATAAAGTTTAAACGGGAAACTGTTACTGCATAATATAAAACTGATCATTTCTGCTCTTTAGTGTTATACTTAAGCTTCAGTAGAGTCTCTAAATACGTTCTCCATCACTAAATATTTAAGATTTAAGATACCTAGAGCAGCAGAGAACCTCCAGCATCTGCTGACCAGTGGTCCAGAGATTTTAGATGTAAAAGTGCCACTAAAAAGCGTAATTAAATCCCAAGATAGCGTATTTTCCAAATGAGCTTACGTGCTTTAAGTTTTGCTGAAAAACTAAAGCTAAAATCCGAGTGATGCATTTCACTATTCTCCAACAAAAGTCCTATCAAAGATGGACGTAGGCCTTCTACTGTTCTGCAGCGGTCAGCTCGGTGAGCCGGTTTATTCCGCAGGTCTGAACGTGGACTCGGTGGTGGCCGGAGACGACAGCCTGGACAGGAAAAAGCCGGCGGGGGGGGGCGTGGACGGTCGACGGCAAACCGTGAGCTCCAACGCTGACCCCCGCCCTTCTGGGGGCACCATGGAGCGCCGGCACACCATCTGCGGGGTGGACTGGAGGCCGTCCCTGTCCAGGAGCAGCCACGACAAAAACCAGAACCTGGAGCGGGGGGAGCGGGGGGAGCGGGGGGGCGGGGGGAGTCTGGAGAGAAAGAGGGTGAGCGGGAGCTGGGAGAGGAGGCAGCAGACGCGGAAAACGGGGGGGAGCTGGGAAAACCGGAGGGCCAGGCCCATGAGCGGGAGCTGGGGGGTGGGGGTGGGGGGACCTGGTGGAGGGAGCTGGGAGAGGAGGCACGGAGGGGGAGGAGGGGGCAGCTGGGAGAGGAGGGGGGGAGGCTGCGGGGGCGGGGGGAGCTGGGAACGGCGGCAGGCCTGCACGGGGAGCTGGGAACGAGGGAAGAGCTACGGGAGCTGGGAGAGGAGGAACTACAACCCGCTGGAGCCCACGCCCTGTCCAGACGCATACTGCAACCTGGTCATCCTGGCCGTGGAGAACAGGGTGGGTCGCCCCATCACCAACCACAGTCACAGAAGTGAAATATAGAAGTGAGAGATAGAGAGAGAAAAGGCTTAAATATTCCTAAAAGCCGGAAAACAAAGCTCTAACCAAAAGCACACTCATCACCGAGCTGGTCCTGGAACCTCTGCTTGCTGCTTTGCTAAAGAGTTAAAAAAATCTTTATGCACTTGAAATTGTTAGCCCGATTCTTTAGTTGGAAACCTGAGAAGAAACCAGAGTCGATCAAGAGTAAAAATGGACATTTATTGGGTCACAGGTAAAGTATTTCAGCGCTGGGCTCTTCACAGAGGAAACATCTCTCAGGGTCTCAGTCAGCAAAGAGCCCTGAGATCTGGGGGTGATGGGTCTTTGTCTCCTTGGCTAGGCACACCTCCTCAAAAGGAGGACTGGACACAACCAAGTCCTATTGGTTAGTTACCTGTAAAACTATATAGACTCATATAGTCATAATATAAAGGGAAACAATCAATAATATGCATAGATCATGTGATAGCAAACAATGCTAAAGTGTGTATTTATAACCAAATCCTAACAAAATAGACTTCACAGCAGAAAAAATATGGTGTATTTTGTCCACCAAATAGACACAGACACTCCACATAGGAGAGAATTGATTTTCTGATGATTCACACATCAGCACACAGTGTAAAAGTGAGCACAAAGCGTTTAGCATTCAGTCTCATTTATTGAACAGCAGCCCTTACTGTTAGCATGCTATCACCTGCATATTTGGTGGCATTCTCCCCTCCCACAGTCTTTTAGCAAAGCTGCCTCCGTGTGTGTGCTTGTGTGTGTGTGTGTGTGCAGGATGCCGCAGAGGAGTACTGCTCCCTGATCTGCCAGATGTTCCAGATCATTTACGGACACCAGACCATCGAGTGTGTGGACAGGGCCGGCTTTCACCACACCATGCCAGACCGCTACTGGCTGCAGAGGAGTGAGTGGCTCCAGGTTTCTCTGTCAGGATGTGGGTGTTCTCCAGGCAAATGTTCTCCAGAAGAAAGGAATCCATTCAGATGAATGCGTCAAACACTCGTCCATACCCAAAAATCTTTGGTTTCTTTGCATCTTTTAACCTCCTGAGACCCGAGCTTTTATTTGGAATGCATTTTAGCTTTTTTTTTAAAGATATATGAGATACATATTTAATTAAATGTTTTTACAATTTTGTTCTGACAGTCCCATTGACTTATTTACATATTTTCTATTACACAATAAGAACATGATTGGATGGAAATGTATAAAACCATTTTACTTTAGATTTCAAACAGTGTCTGATAGCATCTGCTATGAGGCCAAGAGGTCAAAGCTGAAAGAAAAAAAGAAGTATCATGGTAAAGAGAGACAAAAATGCAACGTCCACTTATGAGGACACAGGGTCTCAGGAGGTTAAAGCATATTCTGGACTGACGTGTTCATTCAAACCTGGTAGGACAGGCACAGGCAGGAAGACGTTTCGGTTAACCCTTGTGTGATGTTCATATTGTTGTTACTCAGCCAGTGTTCGTGGGTCTGACGGACCCGTTGCATTTTGTTGCACTTTTAATGCCTCAAAATCACTTTTATATGAAAACACTTTTATATTAAAATACTGAACAGGTGTTTACCTTATCTTAACTTCTCTCTCTCTCATCCTAAATCAAATCCAGGGCCCTCTGGGCAGAGAACCTTTTGGCCATCTTGATCGGTTATAAGAAACCAATCTAGCAAAGCTGGGCCAGTGTGGTCCCGTCCCCAATTTTTAGCAGATTGAGAGAAAATTAGAGCAGACAAACAATGTGTGGGAACTGTTTCTTTTGTGTTTGTGCACCTGCAGTTCCCACACAAGGTTGCAACATTGTGAGTGCGTGTGCGTGTCTGTGTGTGGTTCACAGAACATCAATTTCCGCACTTCTTTTAGCCCCGGGTCCAGTGGACCCGAACATCTTATATGTAATAGAAATGTGTAGGGGGGGTGTACGGTGTGTGGGCATTAAATATGAATTCTGATATATGTTCTTGACAGAAAATGAGCCAAAGCCAGTGAGTCTCAGTTTGAAAAATGAATTCATTGTATCATTTTTCCTTTAGTAAAAAAATGAAAACGGGTCCCACAGACCCTGAACACCACACAAGGGTTAACCTGACCGCTGTAGTGGATGGGGACGTCTGATTGGATCGTTTTCGGGCAAAGTGGCTTTGAATGTTGAATGTTTAACTGGATGTGTGTGCGCAGGCGATAGCTGTCTCACCGACATGTCCTACAGCTACGACCCCGAGTTCAGCTGCTGCAGCTCCTAGTGAGTCCCCCTCACACACACACACACACACACACACACACACACACACACACACACAC